GTTTCCATACTTTTTCAAAGATTTTGATCATGATCCTCAGTTATATTCAATGCAAATTCTGTCAATGTGGCCCAAAATTGCCGAAAAAATGTGTAAAAGAACGTGTAAAATATTTTGCTGGAAAATGTCGCTTAAACTTGTAAATGAGGAGTTTCTACTCAGTTGGGATGTTTCATTTTTCTAAAAAGGCTCCGTGGCCTTTTGAACCCCATAAAACATGTGTGATTCACTTCCAAAATTGAAGTACGGTCCAATAGTTTTAAGACCGGGTCATGTTTTGCAGTAAATTGTTACTAGTACAGCCTTTTACGAGGAGCTTTCGATGACTTCGTAATTCCGACTGCGTTCCTCGTGTTTTCAAAACTTGTACATGGTACAATTATGTGGAATATCCGCCATCGACACAATGGGACACAACGCGAAAAGTGTTATTGCACAAATGATATGAATATATATAATCATGGATGGTAATCTCAAATAATAGCGGGAAATCCCCGAGCAGGTCAACTCCAGTCTTTTGAGTGAAAACATGCATCGGTAGCGAAATCTTTACTCGACCAGGCTCGACTACCCCGTTACAATGTCTTTATTATTCAGTCACGCACATCAGCGACATATATAAGTTCTGGTTCATAGTCAGATTGGCTGATTTGTTTAGGTTTATTCGGCACAGTTCACAATTCGTCGCGTCGTGTTCGATGTGAGTCCCATACGACGTATACAACGCACGTAAAATATATTGTTTTGGTGCTTTAATATTTATTGAAGGAAGGTTTGGGAATTGAGATTCTTGTTGTGTTGTGTTGTGTTGTGTTGTGTTTGTGACGTCTAAACGGTGCAAATGACACGCGTCATAGCCGTTTGAGTACACCATCGTCGTAACTATGTGCGTGCAGTGCGATACACTTTCTTCCAAAACAGGTATACCCAAGAACAAATGTAAAAGGCTAATGTCACTTTAAAGGGCCGTAGTCGTCGCACTGGGCATGTGCGACATTTGTGTTGATCACAATCCAATGCGCTCTTCTAATGGAAGTCGTAAGTATGAGGTTTGACCTAGTCGCAATTTGCACTAGTACCTCCGGCGACTCCTTCGATGCCTTCCAATCAACTACAAAATATTTAATTAAAGCTTGGTAACGTCTCAGTTTGTACTCTGCGCAACAGTTAAAGTCGCCATCTTTGTTTATATGAGACCCATATAACTCGCGCATGCGTGAAGCGACGACTACCGCCCTTTAACAAAGCACTTTGCTAAACAGAGATTCCGACGTTAGCTGGTTTGGGCTTTATAAAACAAAAACACTCACTTATTAAAGTCGTACTGTACTACGAGTCTACCTTAAAGTACAGCCGTGTGTTATTACTACAATACAAACAAAATCACGTACATATTTAGATTGTACATGTAAGTCATTTATGTACATGGGTGAGTGGTCTTAGTTGAATCATATTTCTGAGGCGGGCTTTTTTTACTGCGTCCTGTAAGCATATTAAATTGGTTCAGTGGTTTGACTTCATTACTTCATTTTAAACCGTACTTGCACTGTTAATCTCAGTTAAAGTATAACGCGTACTTCGATCAGAACCTAAAGACTGCAGAATTCACTGCGTACAAGTTAACGTATGATCAGCTATCACTATAAATACTGTGAATGCTTGGGTAGATAGGGGTATACATTTGACAATAACGCTTCGACCGGTGAGTATTTTACTAGCTTTAGCCCGAAAAGTCACTATATATTGTGACATGCGACCGAGCATTGTGGACACGTTCGCAAGCAAGTTTGGTAGTTTTATCCTATTTCTGCCAATAGATCTTGACGGTGTTAGAAGCTGCAGATATTACGTTTAGGTAAGTATATTACTCAGAGTATATATTGCTAACTTTCATGCGAATGTTCTTTTTTTAGACAGCGCTTAAATGTGGTTGACTGCTGTCACGCCCAGCCCGATAACATACATATAGCTATTGAAGTCTGAACCAATAGCGAACATTTGTAAAAGTGTGACATAAACAGGATACAGAACATGTTGTTCGATTTCTCTTTTGTAAATGTTTAATTTATTACAGGTTCAAAGATGGACTCCTTTGTCATGGTAATAATAACGCTGTGTCTTCTCGTAATCAGGTACAACACATGTGAGGTAAATTATTATGTTTGTCTTGTTTTCTACGCCTTGAAGTTAAAATGTGTTTATTTCACCCATATTCAACTACGACAACATTTCTCGACCCGGCGCAATTTCTTAAGTTTCCAAAAAAAACTATCGATACAGCGTAGCTATTGAATTTTAATTGTAACCTTCGACAGATATGTTTCTGTGTTTTTTGTTAAGCAGGCGATTGAAAGTTGTGCTTCATTGGATTGTGATCATGTATGCTCACTGAGCGGTAACGTAGCAAAATGCTCGTGTAACTCAGGGTTTGCACTGGAGAGCGACGGTGTCACGTGCTCAGGTAAATCGTCATACTCAAACCAGTATGATTATTATATTCGGGCCCCTCTCGCATGTGGGGTCTTTGTGGTTGGTAGTTTTCTCACAACGAATGAGTTATTTCACCAAGGTGAACAGGCGTTCACTTGACCTAGTTTGAATGTCCCTTTTGACTCAAAGACGTTTTGTGGTGTCATAAAAAATGGTAGCAAGCATGTATTCATAGCCAGACCAACTTTATCCCTGTACATACGATGACAGGATCAAATACTTGCAATGGTTTTGTTTGCAAAGTAAAGACATTTGAAGAGTGTGTAACGCTGTTATTTTCTTTTCTTTTTTTTTCTTTTTTGAATTCTGTCCTGTAATTAGACATAGATGAATGCGAGCTAGGAACATCGGGGTGCCAGCATTACTGCAATAATACTATAGGTGGCGCCGTATGTGGTTGTAACGATGGGTACAAGCCCCATCTAAGGCTCTCGCATTTGTGTATAGGTATGATTATCCACCCTTTCTTTGACTTTAAATACCCAGAGTGTACGTAATTACTTCCCATTGAATCCATAGAGTGTTAATATCTCGCAAATGTATCCTCGGGGGCTGTGCTACGTCACAGACGTTCCATGTTGCTAAGACGCGCACCACTGTACCATGCATTTCTATGGGCTCTGTCCGCGCTGCTGTGTAAAGCCGGTCGAGCCGGTGAAAATTCGAGAAAACAACACAAACTCAACTTTGAAGTAATCCTGAACAACCAAATTTATATATGTTACACGCGTAGGGCTAATCTTGTTACACTGTTCAGGGGAGTCTCAACAACCATCCCGAAGTACAGTTTTCTGCAAGTTTTGGCCTTTGTTTTCACCGCGAGGGTTGCCAGGCGGTGAAAATGCCCGGATGTCTGCCCCGAAGATATGTTTCAACGTCTGATCTTTGATTGGCATGCGCCCTCTATTTTATCACAGTCAACACTGCACATAGTGATTAGTCATAGGAGTTGAATCCGGAGTTGTTTTGTTTTGTTTTAAGTATGTATTATATAGGCTGGAACCATATAGCAACGTGTACTATACTGTACTTTTCAGTTGCCAATCAAAACCCTTTTCATGCGACACTCGGTTATTTTTTTTCAGTAACTTTTTCAAATGATTATATTTTAATCTAGACTTGCTATCATTTATGTTAAATCTAGACTTGCT